ACTCCAGTCTGGGTGACAGAGTGAGATTCCAACTCAAAAATAAAATAAAATAAAAATAAAATAAAAGCTTCTATTTGACCTCTGCCTCTTTGCAGACAGCAGACACTCTCCCCTGCTGTTCTGCCTGTCACATTCTTTGTGATGCCTACTCCCTTAAATATATCCACCTTCCCTAATTCATAACTGCCTTGGAGAATACTTTCACGCCCTTGACACTGCCTCTACTTAGCCTGGCACACGGCAAGGACCGCAGCGGCATTTCCTTCTTCTGCCTTCTGACTGCTCACTTGGACAAACCCTTCAGCCTCTTCCAGGCCCGACTTCCCCACCAATGATATCTGGTTGCGGATGCACTCAGTGCAGGGGTCATTTGAGGCAAGGTGGGCCGGAACCGGTGCCAGGGCTGTGGGAATAATGCCAGATTGCAACCAAGTAAGAAAGTAGAAAGACAGAAAGTTTATTATTCGCTTTTCACAGATTGGAAAGGGGCCGACACTCAGAGGCAAGTGTGGCCCTGAAGGGCCACAAATGTGTACATTTAAGGGCTTTTGGGTAGGGGAATTTTGGCCCAAAGGAGTGTCCAGGGCTTCGGGTCTTTGATGTTGATCGTAGTCACATGAGTCTTAGATCTTTTTTTTTTTTCCAAGTCAGAGTCTCACTCTGTTGCCCAGACTGGAGTGCAGTGGCCGCTCCCGGCCACCGCCTCGACCTGCTGGACTCAATGATCCTTCCGCTTCAGCCTTCCAAGTAGCTGGAACTACAGGCGCGCACTACCACACCCGGCTGAGTTTTTGATTTATTGTAGAGATGAGGTCTCTCCAAGTTGCCCAGGCAAGTCTCGAACCCGTGGGCTCAGGCAATCCACTCACCTCAGCCTCCCAAAGTGCTGGGATTACAGGCTGAGCCACCGAGCTCAGCTGAGTCTTAGATTTTAAGGTCACCAGACATTAGCGTTTCCTGCCTTCAAGTGGTAGGCTAGATGAGAGGAGACAAGGGGAGGTTTTCCTGCAAGAGACTTTTTAGACTTTTGCAATCCACCAACTCCTTGACCAAAAGATGGTGGTCTTATCATTTCCGGCTTTAGTCAGCCAAGGGGTGATCTTTGATCCTTCCGCCTTGATAAGGAACCTGTAAGCTTACTAGAGATTTTCATGCTAAACCATGAATTGAAAAGTTGGGCTGTTCTGGTCTTGCTTCTGATGGAGATTTGCCAAGGGGGGGGGTAGGCTGCCACTCCGCTGACAGTAGAATGTCTAAATGCTTTCTAATGGCTATGCTAAGGCAAAAAGACGAAGAATAAACTAAGTTTATTCTCGGTTTCTATAGGTACCTCCTTTCACTCAGTGATTCCTCAGTCTGTGGCGCCCTTTCCAGCCTCTCGATCCATCGAGGTCTCTGTTTTCTAGCCGCTCCAGAGCACTCGTGTCCCGCCACTCTGTCACCTTCCTCCCAGCACACACATCTTTCCTCTCATACGCGGTGGACTCTGGAGAAATATGAGGCCCGTTTAGGCCACCATCAGCTGGGTAAATTAAATTGAGGAAGGAGATTTCCGGATGAGAGTTTACAAATGTTACAAAAACTGACTGATAACAGCAGGAGTTGTTAAGAATGTCTTAGGAAGCTTTGTGAAGGTCACTATTTGATGTCAACGTGTGAGGCTTTTGGCAAGGACATGCGATGACAGAGCCAGGGACCAGGCCCAGAGAGTGGAACCTGGTTATGTTGCTGTATGTGATCAGCTGTGTAAAGAATCAAAGTTATTCGGGCTCGGTGGCTCAGCCTGTAATCCCGCGCTTTGGGAGGCTGAGGTGAGTGAATTGCCTGAGCCCAAGGGTTCGAGACCTGCCCGGGCAACTTGACGAGACCTCATCTCTACAATAAATCAAAAAATCAGCCGGGCATGGTAGTGCGTGCCTGTAATCCCCAGCTACTTGGAAGGCTGAGGCGGAAGGATCGCCAGAGCCCAGCAGGTCGAGGCTGCGGTGGCCGGGAGCGGCCACGCCACTGCACTCCAGTCTGGGCAACAGAGCGAGACTCCAACTCAAAAGAAAAAAAAAAAAAAGGAGCCCATGACTGAGGACAGTCGCCAGCCAGAGAGAAGTCACTTGTCGTTTCAGATACAGCCTCTTTTATGAAGGCTTTTTATAGCCCACTCTTGGGAGTAACTTTGTTCTTAATTAAGAAATCTAATTTTAAAGTGAGCTCTGGCCTCTTTCTTTCTAGTGCTTTGATTGCATTTCATGGGTCGAAATTAAGATCCTTTATTGTCTGTTAGCTCTGATTCCCCCCATGGCTAGTTACCCATGGCAAACTGGTGCTTTCCTGACATCGTAAACAGGTTTATTCTCCTAGAATGTCAATAAAGATCTTTGAGAAAGTTCGGTGTGAGGTCATCTGTGACCCTTATTCCTCCAGTGTGTGCTTCAGCCTGGGCGGGGCCAGGTTAATTGATGTCTGGATATTTCCTCATGGTGAAACCTATGGTGAGTACAAGGGGAACACAGTGTCTCCTTTAGAATGTGGAGAATTCGGACTTTGGCAAGGCCATTCCCTGGACAGGAGTCAATTTATACTGAAAAGTGTTATTTCTTCTGGAGGTCACCTCTGTCTGGTACCTCGGGAGGTGGCGTGCTTAAGGCAATTGAAGGGAACAGTCTTTGCTAAGACCCAGCACAGGGCTGAGAAGCCTACTGAGCTCTGGGAGATGAGCACACAGGTATATTCTGCAAACCACTGGAAGCAACCTGGTGCCCATCAAGAGGAGGATGGGGAAATACTGAAGAAGTGAACTGAAACTACACATGACGATGAGACCAAAACTCAAAAATATAATGTTGAGCTAGGCGAATTGGCTCACGCCTGTAATCTCAGCACTTTGGGCGGTGGAGGTGAGAGAATTGCCTAGTCTCAGGGGTTTAAGATCAGCCTGGGCAACTTGGGGAGCTCTCGTCTCTACAGTAAATCAAAAAGACCAGCTAGATGTGGTTGCACACACCTGTAGTTCCAGCTGCTGGGGAGGCTGAGGCAGAAGGATGGCCTGAGCCCAGAAGGAAGAGGCTGCGATGGCCATGAGTGTGTCACTGCCCTCCTGCCTGTGTGACACAGTGAGACTCCGACTCAAAAAATGTGTATATATATGTATATATAATGTTGGATGAAAAATGCCAAATGAAGCTGGGCTCGGTGGCTCAGCCTGTAATCCCATGTCTCGGGAGGCTGAGGTAAGTGGATTGCCTGAGCCCGCGGGTTCAAGACCCGCCCGGGCAACTTGGCGAGACCTCATCTCTACAATAAATAAAAAATCAGCCGGGCGTGGTAGCGCGCGCCTGTAGTTCCAGGTACTTGGAAGGCTGAGGTGGAAGGATCGCCAGAGCCCAGCAGGTCGAGGCTGCGGTGGCCGGGAGCGGCCACTGCACTCCAGTCTGGGCGACAGAGTGAGACTCCAACTCAAAAAAAAAAAAGAAGCCAAATTATGTTGTACAGTCTACTACTGTTCATGTAAGGTTTGGAACAAGCACAACAGTGTTTCTACATTGATTGTGACTGTAGACATGCAGTAAAACACAATGAGAGGCAAAGGAGTGATGAATACCAGATCAGTGGTTTTGAGGTCCAGTTCTGAGCAGTGTTTGCTTTGCATTGACAGCATGGCCGGACGCCCTTGCATCTTGCTGCGAACAAGGGCCATCTTTCTGTGGTCCAGATCTTGCTGAAGGCTGGCTGCGACCTTGATGTCCAAGATGATGTGAGTAGACACCATCATTCTGTCAGCGGATGGGCTGGCAGGGGAGCTTATCTGGCAGGAAATTCACAGCACCAAGTGTGAGCAGCTACGGGGTGGGAGGAGAACAAAAGTTCTTCCAGCACTTTCTAGCTGCTTCCTTGTCTCCGTGGTGGCAAAAACTTCTTCCTGAAGACCTGCTTGGAAGTTCGTTCTCAGTAGCAAGCTAGTGTTTGGGAGTGTGGGATGGTTCATGCATCACGGTTCATTCCCTGTCTATTATCATTCAAGTGCAGAGCCTCAAAGGGCATTTTGCTGTGCACTGTCTCAGTTTAAAGGAATACACACACACACACACACACACACACACACACACACACACACACCAGTGAGTGTGGGCAAGCCCTGCTGGAAATGTGTGCCAGTAACCAAATTTACCACTGGAGAAAAGATGGGACTTGAAAACTTAATTTTTCCTTTGTTTATCTTGATTTCTCTGGCAGTATACATTTAGATGAAAAGGATCTATTCAAGAGAGAGAAAAAAAAAAAGGGCACAGATCCCATGGAATCTAAGAAAAAGGAGGCCTCCAGAAAGAGTTCTCCCTGGCACTATGCTGTTATTGAGACATGGCTACCAACCAACTCAGCTCTGAGCCTGGGCATTCAAATGCTCTAGAGAGGGACTCCAGCGGGCTCCTCTGGGGTCAAGTAGCCAATGCTGGGATGGGATCAGATGGTAGTGGGTTGCCCTGTTGGGTCTGTGGAGAGGGTAGATTCTCGAAGAATGAAGTAAATTGCCCTTCAGTGAGCTATTAGGAAAAGGTCCTATGGTGATGTGATTGCAAACTATTTTCAGAAATGGTTTCAACTCTAATTTGTGTGATAGTTCCTTAAGAAATAAGAACTTTTGTGAGGAACACAGAATCTTGGAGAGTTTGCACTTATTGTAACCTCTTCCAGATTTGCATGTAGTCACTGTATTTTTCAAATTTCAGACCCTCAGGTGTCCTGGCGTCATTCATTTACTGAGATGCTTCTAGTTGTCTTAGGGTCTTCAGGCAGTAGCCTAAAACTTGCCAGCACACTTAAAGTGAGAAGGACAGCTTGCAAATAAATAACTAAGCATTGCTTGTTATACATGGGCAGAAGGCATCCAGGGTCTTTCATAAATCTCTGGTTTTATCTGGGACTTATTGGGTCACCGGGGATGTTATTTTCTAAAGATGCTGTTTTAGCTTTAAGCTGTTAGTTTCTACTTTGGGTCATAATACTCCGTTACTTTCCTGCCCTGTAGCCATCATGACATTCCTGACTATGCCATGTCCTTAGATGACAGGAGCAAAATACAAGGAGAGGGAAGAGACGCTGACCACAGAGAAGGCAGGACTTGACTTGCTGGTGCAGACATGGAGAACTTATCATTAAAGCCCTCTCCTGCCACGGTGGGAAGGCCGCTATGCCAGACATGCTCACCCATCCCAACCTGGTACCCTGCTTCTGGTCCTGAGTGCTCAGTGTCACTGTGTCCTCATGCAGCAGAGGCCATGCTCACTTCCTAGAACCACTCTGTTTCTATCAGGCAAGAGAAGAAGTAAAACAGGAGTTTTCACAAGACAACCAAGGTGACACAGGTCGGCAGAAGGATAGCCACCTCAACTTTTAGACAGAAACAGACTCACCCTCCCAAAAATTATGGTAGGGGTTAGAGACCAACCTGGGCAACTTGGGATTCATGCCTGACTTCTGGGTATTTACTACGCCTGTTGATGATCAGTCTTGACATATATGCAAAAATTCAAGAAAGAAAACTCTATGTGTATTCTTTATTTTGTTTGTTTGTTTGTTTAAAGATAAGGCCTCCCTATGTTGCCTAGGCTGGTTTCAAACTTCTGGTCTCAGGCAATCCTCTCACCCTGGCCTCCCAAAGTGCTGGGCCGCTGCACCCGGACTATGTGTGTTCTTTAAAGAAGCTAGGATATTAATTATTGGAAAAACCTAATTATTTCAGAAGTTACCTGTCTTGGATTGTGGATAGAAATAGAGAATGTTCACGTGATGAAGAATTCACTCCTCACTTCATATTCTACAGATACTGGTCTTTATGGCATGGGAAGGCTGAGAATTAGTTGGAGAATGACCTCCAGTGACCTGGAGTGGGATTATTATGAATTTCAACCTGTGGAAACCAGTTCCTTAGACTATGCAACTCCAAGAACACGTTCTCTCTTGCTTCCCGCCAACCCTGTCAACTCTCATTGGAGCGCTAACGCCATCTCTGATTGGTCAATGAGCAGTCATGTGGCCCCTGCTTCAGAAGTAGTCCAGGATGCTGTGGCCACAATAAAAGGCATGAAGGAAGAAAAAAATAAGAAAAACCAGAGAAGAAAGGCTAGGAAGGACCCTAGAAGATCAGAGAGAGAAAAAGAGGTCAGCACCTTGCTTTGCCCTGACTTCAGCTTCCCTGCAGCATGTCTGCCTGTTCCCCGAGGTGATTCCCACAAAGAGGGCCATGTTCCACCCTTGCACTTATGGGGGGTTTCTTCCATGAGCTTGGCCTTGAATCTGCCAACACTACGCTCACTCTTTTTCACCGTGTAGAAAGAAAAATAACAGTATTTCAGAACAGAGATTTAGATCTCAGGGGTACCAAAGCTCTTCAAGTCCCAAAGTGAGAAAGACTGGTGTCTCGGAAAAACTGAGAGCTGGGAGTTTATGTACTTCTGCAAATGGGTCACCGTGTTCCAAATCAAAGTGCCAAGCTGCAAGATTGCTAGCTCTTATGTTTCCAGCTACAGAATTTTTTCTTCTGTTTCTTTGTAGTTAATCATTCGGTAAATACTTTCTGGGCACGTATAGTGGCTACGGTACTTAGCTTGAGGATGACATGGCTGCTCAAACCTAACACATGCACCTGATCTTTGGGGGGGCCCCTATTAATGTTCATTGGCTTCACAGTTTGGAAGCAGTTTGGGGTGAGTACAGAAGCCTTGACCATTTGAATTCTGGCCCAACCATGCCACCCTGAATCTGCTAGTTATCCCTGGCTAGGCTTATCAGTAAAATGAGAGAAACAGATATCATGACACTTAGCACAAGTAGGAGGTCAGAAAATAGTCACTGAATAAATATCGAGTCATTGCTGTTGAGATGCTATACTTTCCCCTGAATTTCAGAGTTCCAGAATTTCATGATTACTATAGCTCATATAAAAGTAAGGATTATGTCATCATTGCTACTTGTGCCACTGGTACGTGCTGAGACACATCTCGTTCTTTTCTGTGTCATATTTCAAAGAGGAAATGTTTCAACAGTGCATTTTAATTTTTTGAGTTGGAGTCTCACTGTGTCGCCCAGACTGGAATACAGCGGCACACTCACGGCCACCGCAGCCTCAAATCTGCTGGGCTCAGGCGATCCTTCTGCCTCAGCATTCCAAGTAGCTGGAACTACAGGTGTGTGCCACCACACCTGGCTAATTTTTTGATTTATTGTAGAGACGAGGTCTTGCCAAGTTGTCTGGCTCGGTCTCAAACCCCTGGGTTCAGGCAATCCTTTTGCCTCAACCTCCCAAAGTGCTGGGATTACAGGCATGAGCTACCACACCTGACTTAACAGTGCATTTTAATTTTATATGGGAAAAGAGTCAATTCATAGGTAATTGGCTTTGTTTCAACTTTGGTCTCAAGGTGCTAAGTGGTTTGTGTTGTGTTCTAGGGAAGAGTAGTTCATGCCCTCAGAGCCTTTAATTCTCACTTGGTAAATTAAGAATGACTAATTTTCAGCTGGGCTGGGTGGCTCAGCCTGTAATCCCGTGCCTTGGGAGGCTGAGGTGAGTGGATTGCCTGAGCCCGTGGGTTCAAGACCCGCCTGGGCAACTTGGCGAGACCTCATCTCTACAATAAATCAAAAAATTAGCCGCGCGTGGTGTGCGCGCCTGTAGTTCCAGCTACTTGGAAGGATCGCCAGAGCCCAGCAGGTCGAGGTTGCGGTGGCCGGGAGCAGCCACCGCACTCCAGTCTGGACGACAGAGTGAGACTCCAACTCAACAACAACAACAACAACAACAAAGAATGACTAATTTTCAAAAGCTGAAGGAAGTGTATCACTTAGTCTCCCAGAACCGTACTGAGCTAGTGTCAGCAGAGCTAATGGTTCAGCTAGGGATGGCTACTCGTGGTGGGAAAGGATGAGCCTGGCAGTGTTTACTGACCAGGCTCCGAGTGAGGTCTCTGGCTGAGAGGAGTGTGATGAGGGGAAGTTGTAGCCTGGAGACAGACAGTGAAGCCAAAAGGTCCCCAGAGAGGAAGGGACATGCCCGAGACACCTGTGCTAGAAGCTTAGGACAATTTGTGTTCTCACTGCAACCTCATACAAATTGTGAGATCTCTGGCTCTTGATAATCCACCTGGGCCAGGTGTGGTGGCTCACTCCTATAATCCCCGTACTTTGGGAGGCTGAGGTAAGAAGATTGCCTGAGCCCGTGGGTTCGAGACCAGCCCGGCTAACTTGGTGAGACCTCATCTCACAGTAAATCAAAAAATAGCCAGGCATGGTGGTGTGTGCCTGTAATTCCAGCTACTTGGAAGGCTGAGGTGGAAGGATCACCTGAGCCCAGCAGGTCGAGGCTGCGGTGGCCATGAATGTGCCACTGAACTCCAGCCTGGGCAACAGAGTGAGACTCCAACTCAAAAAGCAAAAATAAAAAATAATCCTTCTGAAAATTTCCTTCTGAGGTCTGAACTGAAAGTCACATTTAGCTGCCAGCATTGAGCTAAATGTTCACAAAGAAAAGTTATCTAGAGGGAAGCAAATCCAGTAAGCTGATTATCAAAGCCAGGAAGAAATAAGGGTGTCATGCTGAATCCAGAGCTGCCTTGATTTGGGATTGAGTTGGGCAGCTTGTGAAACGTGAGAAAGCCACGGCTCAGGTTAGTCTGTGCCCTCACCAGACAAGGCCTCTCATGCAATCATTTGTATAGCAAGAGTGACTGACAAGCCGGGTGCAGTGTCTCACGCCTGTAATCCCAGCACTTTGGGAGGCGGAGGCAAGAGGACTGCCTGAGTCCAGAGGCGTGAGAACAGCCTGGGCAACTTGCCAAGACCTTGTTTCCACAATAAATTAAAAAAATAAATTAGTAAAGTGTGGTGGCACACACCTGTGGTTCCAGCTACTTGGAAGGCTGAGGCGGAAGGATCACCTGAGCCCAGCAGGTCGAGGCTACAGTGGCTGTGAGCATGCCTCTGCACTCCAGCCTGGCCGACAGAGTGAGAGTCTGACTCAAAAAACCCCAAAAAACAAAAAAGAGTAACTGACACAATGGTGCGTTAGGGCCTGCTTGCCCTCGCTTTATGGACAGCACAGACAGAATGGGAAGTTTTGTTATGGAAAAAGATTGTTCTGAGTGGCCCAAAGAGTCCTGGTTAGAGCAACAGCAGTGTGTAGGAGTACGAAAAAGCTTCCAGCAATTAGAAATCTGCGCGAGTCTACCTTCAAAGAGTGGCTGTAATCTCAGGGTCTTGCTAAGAAGAGAGAGCCATCTTTCCAGCCCATTGGTGAGAATAGATTGCGCCAGAGGCCACCTTGGGAAAATCCATCTCCCTTCTCACAGGGAAATGGGAAGTTTTAGAAATCTTTCAGAAGTTTTAAACAGTTAACGAGATGGGCAATCTCATATGATTGTTTCTTCGTCTGAAACTGCCGAGGTTTGAAGTGGACGGCGCCCCAGCACAGCCCGCCTGCCGCCACGGTCCCAGTGGCCAAGTTCTTCTTTTGAGCACAGCAAGGGTCCTCTGAATTCAGGGTGTGGGGGGTGGGTGAGAAGAAAACCAGCCTGAGCCTGATTGAAATAGGACCAGTAGCCGGGCTTGGTGGCTCAGCCTGTAATCCCGCGCCTTTGGGATGCTGAGGTGAGTGGATTGCCTGAGCCCGCGGGTTCGAGACCTGCCTGGGCAGCAAGACCTCCTCTCTACAATAAATCAAAAAATCAGCTGGACGTGGTAGCGCACGCCTGTAATTCCAGCTACTCGGAAGGCTGAGGTGGAAGGATCGCCGGAGCCCAGCAGGTCGAGGCTGCAGTGGCCGGAGCGGCCACTGCACTCCAGTCTGGGCAACAGAGTGAGACTCCAACTCAAAAAGAAAAAAGAAATAGGACCAGTAGCTCAGGACACTGAAGGGAAGGTCGGTGGGTGCAGTCATGGTCATGGCGTCCTAACCCCATCACTGCGAAAACCCCTTCCACAAATGAACCGTGAGAAAAGATGCCGTGACTGGTGTAACATTCCTGCTCAGACTTTTAATAAGCCACTGTTTTTCCTGATGCTAAAAGTCATGTGTAAAATGGAAAAAGTTGGAAAATATTTAAGATTATAAGGAGAAAAATAAAAATCACTTTCCCTCATTGATTTTTAAAGGGAGTCTTTTATAATGTTAAGAAAGCAAATGTGACTTCTAACTAGAATTAGCTTTTTAAAAACATTGTGATGAAGTCCATGTAACATAAAATTTACAGTCTTAACCAGATGTGATGGCTCATGCCTATAATTCTGGCACTTTGAGAGACCAAAGCTAGAGGATTGCCTGAGCTCAGGGGTTCGAGCGTAGCCTGGCAACCTGGCAAGAACTCGTCTCCACAATAAATCAAAAAATTAGACAGGCATGGTGGTATGTGCCTGTAGTCCCAGTTACATAATAGGCTGAGGTCGAAGGATCGCGTGAGCCCAGCCGGTTGAGGCTGCAGTGACCATAAGTGTGCACTGCACTCCAGCCTGGGCAACAGTGAAACCGACTTAAAAATAAAAGTTTAGCATCTTAGTCATGTCTATCTGCACGACCCAGTCCCGTGAAACATTGCTCTGTGACCGTCACCACCATCCATCGGCAGAACATTTTTGGGAGGTGAGTGAAAGGGTATTGTTACTTGTGACAGATCCTGGGGTGTTTGGTAAGTGGAACTGGCATTTGATCATGGTTGCCTGTAGGCAGCCAGGCATCTATTGTATTTTTGGATTAATTAATTGAATTTTATTTGTTATTTTTCCAAGTCGGTGTCTCACTCCGTCACCCAAACTGGAGTGCGGTGGCACGCTCACAGCCACTGCAGCCTTGACCACCCGGGCTCAGTTCAGGTGATCCTTCTGTCTCAGCCTTCCAAGTAGCTGGAACTAAAAGCATATGCCACCACGCCCAGCTATTTTTTTGATTTACTGTAGAGATGAGGTCTCACCAAGTTGTCCAAGCTGATCTCGAATTCCTGAGCTCAGACAATTCTCTCGCCTTGGCCTCCCTATGTGTTGTGATTACAAGCATGAGCCATCACACTTGGCTAGCCCCCTCCTTTTGTGGGTGAAAAACCTCAGGCCCAGTGAGGTGACAGGCCCCCCAGAGCTGGGTACAGCTCCTCCTGGCTCTTGACTTTTGCACTCCTTCCTTTCTTTTCTTTTCTTTTTTTTTTTTTTCGAGTCTCATTCTGTTGCCCAGGCTGGAATGCAGTGGTGCACTCATGGCCACCACAGCTTTGACCTGCTGGGATCAGGCGGTTCACCTCAGCCTTCCAAATAGCTGGAAGCACAGGGATGCATCCTCACGTCTGGTTAATTTTTCTTGATTTATTTTAGAGACGAGGTCTTGCTAAGTTGGCTACGTTACCCAGGCTGGTCTTGAACCCGCAGGCTCAGGCAATCATTTCACCTTGGCCTCCCAAAGTGCTGGGATTATGGGCATGAGCCACCATGCCTGGCCACACTCCTTCCACGCTGTACCCCCATCTCCCCTGTGGAGACTGGATTACAGGCTCAACTTGATTTTCTTCGACTTGACTTCCTGAGTACACAGCAGAGATCAGCTGTGCTCTTGGAGAATCCAGAACTCTTGTTTCAGCCTCGACCTTCTCACCTCTGGACATGTTTCCCTCAACTGCAATTAGGAAAAGAGTCATGTTCCCTTGGGCACCCGGACCCAGGCCCAGGAATTTGATCCCAGAGGGACGGGGTCCAAACGCAGCATAGATCAGTGAGGATGTTGTCGTGAAATATCAGACGAGGCTCCTAGAAATATGCAGCCATAGGCTGTAGTCCCTGGGGTTCTCAGATGACATAGAGCAAACCCCTACGCTGCTCCTGGCTAGTACAGGTTGATGGGCAGATCACCCGCCTGTCACCAAATCATGAGTGCTACTGGCGGGCAGAGCTGGGTCGTGATCCCTCTGCAGGCCAGGAACTCAGGACTAAGTGGGTAGTAAAGACTCCAGGTGTAAACCGGGCTCGGTGCCTCAGCCTGTCATCCCGCGCCTTTGGAAGGCTGAGGTGAGTGGATAGCCTGAGCCCGCGGGTTCGAGACCCGCCTGGGCAACTTGGTGAGACCTCATCTCTACGATAAATCAAAAAATCAGTAGTTCCGGCTACTCAGAAGGCTGAGGCGGAAGGATCGCCGGAGCCCGGCAGGTCGAGACTGTGGTGGCCGGGAGCAGCCGCTGCACTCCAGGCTGGGCGACAGTGAGACTCCAACTCAAAAAAAAAAAAGGTTCCAGGTGTTGCTGGTTTCATTTACAGCACACGCCATCCGGCTCTCAGACCCGCTCCTCACACCCGCGACCATCGCGTCTACCAGGGTGACAGGGGACAGCCTGTCCGGCATCCTGAGTTCTACTACAGCTGAGGGCTGTTCTTGCTGTTGCCTTCAGGTCCCCCGAGTCTGCGGCCAAAGTCGCCATACTGTTGTGCGCCATTCACTAGCAAGGCCACAAAGCCCAGACCTCAGCGGATAACTGCAGTGCTCTGGGCGGGGCTGGGAGAGGCCCTTGTGCCTGAGCGGAGAAGCCAGGGGTGCAGGGGTCTGGGGAAAGCTCACCGCTGTTCTTGTCTCGGTGTCACTTTGCAGGGGGGCCAGACCGCCTTGCACCGGGCCACGGTGGCGGGGAACACGGAGGTCATCGCGGCGCTCGTCCAGGAAGGGTGTGCCCTGGACAGACAAGACAAGGTGAAGCGAGACCCTCCGCTGGCTCGACCCCGAGGCGACGGATGGGCAGCTGGCAGACCTGGAGGAACCTGCTCAGGAGACTTCTGAGTGCTTGAGATGTTATCATTCCTAGCTCCAGCCGCTCGTGACTTAACATGATGAAATCAGCCCTGATTTCCTTTGAAAGACTAGCTGGCATCCCGGCCAGTTGTATTTTTTTTTTTTAAATGTGTGGCACCAGTGACAACCACATAAATCTAAATAGGAAAGAAAAAAAAAAAATCTCGAAATAAGGACATGTGGCAACATGGAAGGGAGAAGAGACATGCCCCCAGACTTTCTGTGCACTTTTAGTCTCTAATAAGCAAGCAAGTTAATTTATTTACACTCTATTGGAACGAAAGAATAAGCAAAGTCCATTTTTAAAGCAATCCCAGAGATATATTTACACAGAACCTCAGACTGGGCCGGTGGCTCATGCTTGTCATCTCAGCACTTAGGGAGGCAGCGGCGAGAAGACTGCCTGAGCTGAGAGGTTTGAGACCAGCCTGGGCAACTTGGCGAAACTTGTCTCTACAGTAAATCAAAAAATGTGCTGTGCATGGTGGCACGTGCCTTCAGGCCCAGGTACTTGGAAGGCTGAGGCAGAAGGCCCGCCTGAGCCCAGCAGGTTGAGGCTGCAGTAACCTAAATGTGCCACTGCCCTCTAGCCTGGGCTACAGAGCGAGAGTCTGACTCAGGAAAAAGGAACTTCACAATTAGGTGCAATTTAACCTCCACTTACTTTTGTTTTGGTTTTGTTTTTTTGAGTTGGAGTCTCACTCTGTCGCCCAGACTGGAGTGCAGCGGCCGCTCCCGGCCACCGCAGCCTCACCTGCTGGGCTCCGCCGATCCTTCCGCCTCAGCCTTCCGAGTAGCCGGAATTACAGGCGCGCGCTACCACGCCCGGCTGATTTTTTTATTTATTGTACAGATGAGGTCTCGCTGCCCAGGCAGGTCTCGAACCTGCAGGCTCAGGTAATCCACTCACCTCAGCCTCCCAAAGGTGCGGGATTACAGGCTGAGCCACCAAGCCCGGCTACTTTTTTTTTTCTTTTTTGGAGTCAGAGTCTTACTCTGTTGCCCAGACTGGAGTGCGGTGTTACGCTGCTCACAGCCACCGCAGCCTCGACCTACTGGGCTCACACAATCCTTCTACCTCGGCCTTCTATGTAGCTGGAACTACAGACATGAGCCATCACACCCAGTTAATTTTTTGATTTATTGTAGAGACGAGGTCTCGCCATATTGCCAAGGCTGGTCTCGAACCCACAGGCTCAGGCAGTCCTCTTGCCTCCACCTCCCAAAGTGTTGGGATGACAGGCATGAGCCACCATGCCTGGCCTCCACTTCCTTTTTTAAAGCAGTGTTTTAGGAAGGTATAATGTGCATAAAATGCACAAATAATAAGCGTCCTGTTGAATAATTCCACTGACTGATGACCACATGCGTGTGTAGCCAGGTGAGGAAGCGGCTCATTCCCAGCACCCGAAATCCCTGCACCCTGGGCCCTCCCTCTCGCTGTCCACTTCTTGTGCTTCCTGCTCCTGTGCTCAATCCCCCTGCCCCGGCCACACAGCGCAATGCCATTGCCAGATCTCGAACCCACGGGCTCAGGCAATCCACTCACCTCAGCCTCCCAAGGCGCAGGATTACAGGCTGAGCCACCGAGCCCGGCCAGAATGATTCTTAATATGTTCTGTTTCTGGGAGAATGGAGAAACTGATCGCTCAAGTCATTGTCCGCATGCTGTGGTTCACATGAAGAACTCCATCTGAGGAAGGCCCTGTGGTGTTCCTTAAAAATCTACTCTGGGCGTTTGGGAGGCTGAGGTGAGCGGATTGCCTGAGCCCGCGGGTTCGAGACCCGCCTGGGCAGGCAAGACCTCATCTCTACAATAAATCAAAAATCAGCCGGGCATGGTAGCACGCGCCTGTAATTCCGGCTACTCGGAAGGCTGAGGCGGAAGGATCGCCGGAGCCCAGCAGGTCGAGGCTGCGGGGGCCGGGAGCGGCTGCTGCACTCCAGTCTGGGCGACAGAGTGAGACTTCAACTCAAAAAAAAAAAAAATCTACTCTGGGCTCCGTGTGATGGCTCACGTCTGTAATCCCAAAACTTTGGGAGACTGAGGTGGGCAGATTGCTAGAGCCCAGGGGTTTGAGACCAGCCGAGGCAACATGGCGAGCCCTCATCTCTACAGCAACAAAAAATGCCAGGTGTGGTGGTATGTCCCTGTAGTCCCAGCTACTTGGGATACAGAGGTGGAAGAATCACCTGAGCGCAGGGATCGTGATCATGCCTTCTTTCAGGGAGCAGAGTCAGAGCACAGAGGGGCACGTGAAACCTGGCAAGGGTTCCCAGCTTAATGTGCGGGGAACCTATAAGCAGATTGAGACCCAGGCCAGGAGCAAGTCCACCAGCAGCGCTGAAAACTCACGGATGTGGGGAGGCCCCTGCCTGCTGCTGGGAGCCATATCAAGTTACCCTCCAGCCTGGGTGACAGAGTGAGACCCTGACTCAAAAAAAAAATCCACTCTCATGCGTTGATTATAATGAGAAGAGGTGGGTAACATGCCTTTCTTCCCTGTGTGTTTCTTAGGACGGGAACACAGCTTTGCATGAAGCATCCTGGCATGGCTTCAGCCAGTCAGCCAAGCTGCTCGTCAAAGCAGGAGCCAACGTGCTTGCCAGGAACAAGGTGAGGCCTAGCAGGCGCCAGAACGCCTCATGCACAGGTGGGGGCGGTTGTGGGCTTCCCTCCCCGTGGGAGCCTTCTTTCAATGAGCAGAGCCAGAGCACAGAGGGGCGCGTGGAACCTGGCAAGGGTTCCCGGTTTAATCTGCAGGGAATCTAGAAGCAGATTGAGACCCAGGCCAGGAATAGCCCACCAGTAGCACTGAAACCCCATGGATGTGGAGTGCCCCTGCCTCCTGCTGGGAGCTACATCAAGTTACTGTCCCCATTGTTGTGACACTATTATAGAAATCCAGCAAGAGAGATGGCAGCAAAAATTACCAGTAAGAGAACTTCAAAATGCAAACGTGCAGTGAAGTGGTCTCACGCAGGTGTGCTGGGCCCAGTGGTAGAACCAGCTCCCTTGGGAGGCAGTTTGGAAAAACAAACCAAGCCTGAAAAATAGGTCTGTCCTTTTACCTACCCTGCTTGGAATATATTCTCAAAAAACTATAAAACTGGTAAGAATTTGCCCTCAAGGATGATCATGTCAGCAATAGTTCTAATAAATGTGGGGAGAGATTTAGAATTATGGCTCATTCTTTAAATAGAATATAATCAATATTATTAAAACTGTCATTCTCAAGGTAATGCTCTCGACTGCTAAAGAACACGACAAAGGGAGATAAAACCATATACACTACATGCCTTGATGCCTAATATAAATTTATATATTACATTTACAAATTCAAGGATGTAGAGACATCACCAGAGTGGTTATCTCTGGGAATCGAGGCTGTGATTGATTTTGATTCTTACTTTTATACCTTCCCAATTTTCGAAAATGAACTGATTCTTTCCTTCACATTTGAGAAAAGAGGCATATTTTATTTAAAAAATAAAAAAAAGCATTGTCAGTGCTCTTGGGATAGTTGCAGTAGAGGTAAGAGAGTGTCATAAGAGGGACTTTCCTCTTTTCTGTCCTCAGATGGTCCAGCTAGATCTGAGGCATGGGTTTGAAGGGGGCTGACGATCTCCCACAATGCAGTTGTGCAGTTGGCATCATGGGTGGTGACTTCGTCATGTAGCAGTGGGAGAGCGAATCAGGTGTGCTGGAATGGGATTCTAGGTGGCAGCAACATGGGGGCCACGGGCAGCAGTAAGAGTTCCCCTAGGCTGGGTACGGGGGCTCGAGCCCGTAATCCCAGCACTTTGGGAGGCCAAGGCGAGAGGAATTGCCTGAGCTCAGGGGTTCAAGACCAGCCTGGGCAATTTGGCGAGACCTCATCTCTACAATAAATCAAAAGACGTAAGCCGGGCGTGGTAGCATGCGTCTGTAGTTCCAGCTACCTGGAAGGCTGAGGTGGAAGGATCGCCTGTCCTCCGCAGGTCGAGACTACAGTGGTCGTGTGAGGGCCATGGCACTGCAGCCTGGGCAACAAAGTAAGACTTCGACTCAAATAAAAAATTTTTAAAAACCCAAAAAATATGACCAACCCCTCCTGGTTAAGAACTGAGCAGCCGCAGCCTCCACCTAGCTGCACACTAGACTCTCCTGGGAACTTTAAGCAACAGAAAAAAGGAGAAAACCCCAAACTTAAGAACCCCCAGCCATCCGGCCTAGGCTGATGACTGTCCCAGGTTGCCCTGGACCGAGGGGTTTCCCAGAGTGTGGGAGTCCGCTGTGCATGGGCATGTGTCAAAAGCAGTCCCGGGGATGCTAGTGTGTAGCCATGAGTTCAGAAGTGCCCACTCACTGCGCCCTCAGGCTTGGGATCCTCCGTGTTCCCAGAGGTAGCCGTGAGAAAAATACCCACCCAGGCTGGTTGGAGTGTGAACTGGCCGCATCCAGTCTTCCCTTCCCCCGTTAAAAACAAACAAAACAAAAACAAAACTCATTTCTCTTTTCTTTTTTTTTTGAGTTGGAGTCTCACTCTCTCCCAGGCTGGAGTGCAGTAGCACGCTCCCGGCCACCTGGGCTTCCCGGCCGCCTCAGCCTTCCACGTAGCTGGAACCACAGGCGCGCACCACCGCGCCCGGCTAATTTTTTCATTTCTCTTTTCAAAAGGTCAGGGATTGGCTGGGCACAGTGGCTCAGGCCTGTGATGCCAGCACCTTGGAAGGCAAAGCAGGAGGATTGCTTGAGGCCAGGAGTCTCTACAAAAAATGTAAAACACATAAGAATGGGTGTTTGGAAAAAGGCTTACAAGTAAATCTCCGTGATCATTAGCCTACACTCCCAGGAAGTGACCAGTTTTGCCTTTTTTAACTCGCCGTTGGCAGAGATGGTACCCACCGCTGTAATTCACGTTGGGCAGGAAGTCATCCGTGGGGAATTCTGTGCTGTGCATGTGCCAGCATGTTAGGGTGAGGGCAGTGCTGTCCTGGGCACTCTGAGTTCATCCTTAGAGCCCCCATGTGCGAAGGTTCATTTCACACAAAAGGGAATTTGAGACTGAGCCTTCGAGGAGCCTTGCCCAGTGGCTTTCAACTAGGAAGTGGCAGAGCCAGGACTTGGAACCAAGGTTCTATGACAGGCCCCTCCTGCCTGTTTGGATTCCAGATGAAATGTTCTTGCCTCTGCAGCACCCCTGAAGGGCCCCGGTCGGAGGTCGGGAATGTGAGCCTTCGCCTTCCCCGGCCCCCGAGTGAGTATCGCCCTCTGTGGGGCCTACAGGCCTGTGCAGAAGCGTGTTGCTAACGTCCTCCTCTCTCCACCTCTCTCCAAGGCAGGGAACACGGCCCTGCACCTGGCCTGCCAGAATAGCCACTCCCAGAGCACGCGTGTCCTCCTGCTGGGCGGGTCCCGCGCTGACCTCAAAAACAATGTAGGTGAACGCAAGCGGCTTCTTGTGTGCTGTTTCTTGTCACTTCAGAAAATAACCCCCAAAGCCGACTTGAATATCATGAAAATGTAAAACGCGTTTGGGGGACATGGTGACAGCACCTGTCGTTTCAACTCCTTGGGAGGCTGAGGCAAGAGATCACTTGAGCCTAGGGGGTCGAGACGGCGGTGAGCCGTGGTTGTGCCACCGCACTCCAGCCTGGGTGACAGAGTGAGACCCCAGCCCCAAAAATAAATAAAGAGAACCTTGTGGAACGACATGACTTCCTGCTTCCAGTTTCGTTGTCTCTCGGGGAGCAGAGGTCTGTCGGTGCCCACTAGGCACATTCTGATCTGGGTTCTTCTTAATGCCCTTTTTCCTCCCTTCACTGCTTCCCCACTGGCTCCCAGGCTCCATGTAGGATGCTGAAGTGGGATGCTCCTTGAGTTTTGGGGACACATGTGCTCTTAGAATTTGACAGCCCCCCACTGCCCTGTCCTCTGGATCTACGCTGGGAAACAATCAGTCCAAAACAGGGCTGCGGTTCTCAACGCGGCTTACTCCAGACCCTTGGACTCGCAGGGGAGGCCAGGACCAGCAGGTTCCTATCAAGTGCAGGGTAAGCAGAGCCTGCCTTAACTCTCCCGACGGTCTCCTGGGGAGCAGGCATCTGGTGTCCTCAGTGTGGATGCAGAGGTGCCAGCCGAGCAGCCAGTGGGTCTGCGCAGGCCGAAGGCGAGCAGGGCGCCCACAGCGGCCAGGGACCGCGCGTCTCAGAGTGCAGCCTCGATTCAGACAGATGCTTGTTGCTGAGATCCACATCCCCCTGAGAATATATGACAGTCTGCCAGCTTTTAAATGGTATTTTCGTTCTCACTGTGTGGTTTGCAACCGCTCGGAGTGTGCTCAGAGTCTGCTTTCTGTCCGCAGGTGGGCGACACCTGTTTGCACGTTGCTGCGCGCTATAATCACTTGCCCGTCGTTAGGCTGCTCCTCAGTGCTTTCTGTTCTGTCCATGAAAAGAACCAGGTCAGTGCATGTTCCCTCTCCGTGACCGCCACGCCCTCCCCGCCAGGGCACCTGACAGGTGTGTGAGTGCAGGTGGGAGCAGAGGCTACTGGGACGTGCTGCCCTCTGACCTGTCTGGGTCTCTGCCAGGGTGGTCTCTGCATGGGCGTCCCACTGAGTCCCGGTGGCCCTGGTTAGTTTGACCTCTTGGAGAAAGCGCGTCCATGTCATTCCTGCGCATGCCACCACATTTGCATATTGGACATTTTCTGGAAGCCCTGGGGCGGATTTTGCTTTTAATATGATTTTGCAAAAGAAACTCGCAAGGAAGGATGTGGCTTAGTAAGGAGGTGGGATTAGGAGTTGCATGACTCCCTTAGTTCTGTTCCTTGCACTGCCACTTTTATTTGAGCTGAGACAGTCTCGCTTCTGTCAAATTGGATCCGTGATCTAGAGCGTGCCAAGCTGTGATGATCACATTCTTTCATGGAAATGTACATGCTTTTCAGTCGTCAGCCGGGTTTTTTTTAAAAATAGATGGCCTTGATATTTACTGATACCTGTGATGCACTGTTTGACTTTGCTGAGTTGGGATGCATACATCTGAAATTTTTTTAAAAATTATTGTGAGTCAGATTAAATATATCCTAGAACAGTGGTCTCTGGCCCTGGTTGCATATAAGAATTGACAGGGGCCGGGCTTGGTGGCTCAGCCTGTAATCCCGCGCCTTTGGGAGGCTGAGGTGAGTGAACTGTCTGAGCCCGAGGGTTCAAGACCCACCTGGGCAACTTGGCGAGACCTCATCTCTGCAACAAATCAAAAAATCTAGCCGGGCGTGGTAGTGCGCACCTGTAGTTCCAGCTACTTGGAAGGATCACCAGAGCCCAGCAGGTCGAGACTGCGGTGGCCGGGAGCGGCCACTGCACTCCAGTCTGGGCGACAGAGTGAGACTCCAACTCAAAAAAAAAAAAAAAAAAAGAATCAACAGGGGGCCTGGTGCAGTGGCTCATGCCTATAATCCCAGCACTTTGGGAGGCCAAGGTGAGAGGATTGCCTGAGCCCATGGGTTCTAGACCAGGTTCTAGACCAGGTTCTAGACCAGGTTCTAGGGCAACTTGGTGGGAAGTCATCGCCACAGTAAATCAAAAAATTAGCCGAGCATGGTGGTACGTGCCTGTAGTTCCAGCTACTTGGAAGGCTGAGGCAGAAAGATCACCTGAGCCCAGCAGGTCAAGGCCGTAGTGCGCATGTAGTGCCACTGTACTTCAGCCTGGGCGACAGAGTGAGACTCCAACTCAAAAAAAGAAAAGAAAAGAATTGACAGGGGAATTTTAAATGTCCTTCCTGGCTCCTACCCCAGCTTAGAATAGCCAGAGTCTCTGGGGGTGAGGTCTGGGCAGTGGTGTTTCTGAAAAGTTCTCTGAGTGTGCAGCCAGGATCGAAAACCATTGGCCTAATTACCCACGAAGTTGGTCATTCTACAGAATCCTAGTATGTTCTGGTCCATCGGGTTACCCCTCCCCTGCCCTCACCAACCAGTGCTTTCCAACCTTGGCAGCCTGTTGACTTTAAATAATCCCCATGCCCAACCCACGTGGCAGACCAATGAAATCAGACTCTGGGCGGGGGACCAAGGTGTCGGTATTTTTTAAAGCTCCCAGCTGACTCCAATGTGCAGCCAAGACTGGAAACCACTGCTGCAGAGCTTCATACACAACCAAGTGACTCAGAAATGAAGTCAACGTTTTCAGGCAACCCCTTCGGGTCCTCTCCCATTGTGGGAACTTTTCTGTCCCCTTAATAAATCCTGCATTCAAAAATAAAAGAAATAAACATTGTCCCTGTTCCTCACAAAGATGGCTGGATTTTCATGCTGCCCAGGAAAAAAAAAAGCGTCAGAGCACTCTGTCTGATGACCTGACAGCGGAGAGAATGCATTGTTTCACTGCTCCTATATTCGTCTGGCTTATTTATACCATTCTGCTGGGAAAACGGCAGCATTTGCATTTGAAGTTGGCCCACAAGACTGAAGTTATTTTTTATCCTCCTTTCGTAGTTAATTTTGTGAAAACATTTTTATATAAAGAAAATATGAAAACTTGAGCCAGGTGTGTTGGCTCACACCTGTCATCCCAGGTTTGGGAAGTCTAGACAGGAGGATCCTTTGAAGCCAAGAGTTTGAGACCTGCCTGGGCAACATAGTGAGACTCCGTCTCTATGATAAATTAAAAAAAAAAAAAAAAATATATATATATATATATATATATATATATATGAAAGCATATGCATAGGCTATATGGTAAGATGCAGAAACAGTTGGTCTTAAGTGAACACTGATCTTGGTGTCTCCACCCAAAGAATACCATGAGCCTGCAGACGTACTGAGTTCCAGAGGCAGAAGTAGCCGTCTTCACAAGTGTCTGCTCAGTCTAGCACTCAGATATCAAGCAGTTCTCTGGCCTCAGACTTCCCTGAGCAAAGGGTCAAGCCTTCTGGATGGCCAGCCTGCCACCCCAGGCTTCCTGCCCATCCTCCGGCCTCCATGAGGCTTCGGCTTCTGCCCTTCTCAACAGCCCTGCAACTAACCCTGTTCTGTGATTTCTAGTGTCTTCTCTTAGAAAGGAATGTGATCATTGATGCCATTTAGTTCCAAGATATCTTTCAATAGAACCACATCAGCTTTAACAAAGGGCCCATAAAGCCGGGCTCAGTGGCTCAGCCTGTAATCCCGTGCCTTTGGGAGGCTGAGGTGAGTGGGTGGTCTGAGCCCACGGGTTTGAGACCCGCCTGGGCAACTGGGTGAGACCTCATCTCTACAATCAATCAGAAAATCAGCCAGGCGTGGTAGCGCGCGCGCCTGTAGTTCTAGCTACTCGGAAGGCTGAGGCGGAAGGATCGTCGGAGCCCAGCGGGTCGAGGCTGCGGTGGCCAGGAGCGGCCACTGCCCTCCAGCCTGGGCGACAGAGTGAGACTCCAACTCAAAAAAAACAAAACCAAAAAACAAAGGGCCCATATCTGGCTAAGGCAAGTCTCAGTTTGACTTTGAAGAGCCACCCGCAGGCCAGGGAATGGAAAGCGGGAGGCCTGGAGGCCACGAACAGAGGGTCAAACGGGCTTTCTTCTGATCAATTTCAGGCTGGAGACACAGCACTGCACGTTGCTGCTGCCCTAAACCATAAGAAGGTGGTTAAAATCCTACTGGAAGCTGGAGCGGACGCGACCATTGTTAATAATGTAAGTTGACTTGCAATCGTGGCTTCCGAAGCCATTCCCAGCCCTTTCCAGAATGGGATGTGTGGTTACTGCCACTTGGGACCCTTGCTCTGAGGCCTGCTGTTAGGCTCTTAGCTGCAGTGGGCACAACCTGGCATGAAAAGAAAGGTCAGAGGTGTCCCAGGAAACTGGCGAGTGAATGTCACCCAAAGTGAGTTCCCGGCCTGTGCGTGCATGGGGTCCCTAGAGGTCACCTCTCCTCACTGTCTCCCTCTGTGTCCCCGATCCAACAGCAGGTGCCCTTTCTTCCTCAAGGCTGCCCTGTGGTCTCTGCTCTCCTGGAAGGCTCAGAGGGGCTGGGGGTGGAACATGTGGAGCGGCTGGGCTCCCCCGTGCTCCTCCCGCCTCCTCAGAGCTCTAGAACCTGTCCTGGGGGCGCAGGCCCCTCTTCCGGATGCCTCGAGTGCCTTCCCCTCCCTTCTGAGTCCCCCTGTTAGCAACGCCTGGGTTTTTGAGGAACCTGCATGATGGCCGTAGCTTCATCATCGTTTCCTGAGACTCTGGCCAGGCCCTGACCGCTGCAAGATTCGTGGCTGGGTTGGGCTTTATGACCCTCTGCAGTGTGGCTTCCATGGAAGCGTTCCCCCTTGGTCCTGAGGGGCGCCTCCTCGCCCTTCCAGGAGGCATCCTTGGTGGGCGGCTCCCCAGGCCTTGGCCTCCCGGAGCGCTCGCCGCTCCCCCGGTCTGCCCTTGCCCTCTGGGCCGGGGGCGTGACGTGGCGCCCTCCCTGGTGCACACGAGGCTGTCGAGCAAGGCCACGTCACACACGCGGCTGCATCTTGCCGGGCATGGGCAGCGACCCGGGATGGCGGGGTGGAGGTCGCCCGCTCCTGGTGAGAGCCGGGCCGGCTGGTGTCCCTTTCTCACCCGCCCTCCCTGTGCCTGTTTGTAGGCAGGCCAGACTCCGCTGGAGACTGCCCGCGACCACAACAACCCGGAGGTTGCTCTTCTTCTCACAAAAGCTCCCCAGGTAGGATTTCCTGCCCGCTCCGTGGTGTCGACTGTGCGCAGCTACAGAGTTGTGGCTGACTCCCGGCCAGTCTACCAAAGCCCGTCCACACCAGCTCCAACCGGGAGTCTAGGGAGGCAGTGGAGGCACGGGACTCCCCTGGGGGCCTCCAGCACGACTGGACCCTGGACCGGAAGGCCTTGAGCCAGCTCCCTGGGTCAGGGCTTCCCAGGGTTGAGGTTGGCATTATCTAAGTGACAATAAAGACATTTAAACAGTTCGTAAACTATTCACAGTTCTAGCACCCTGAAACAACTACCTTTGTTTCTTCATGTTGCCTTCTACAGACCTAAGTTTTATATCTTGGTGCTTACAGTGCAGATACCCTTTCGAATTTTGCCTCTTATCCTAACTACAGCAGGGCAGTGTTTAGTCTTCTCATTATTCGGCATAATATTCTTTTTTGTTGCTATCGATATTTTGTTAAATCATTTCCGTCATGTTGGACATCTAGGTTATTTCCAGATTGGAGCTACTCTGTATTACGTTACAGCAAGCACAGGATGGTTTTCCAGCTTATCTGCGAGAAGAAAAGTCTCAGGGAGTCAGAGGAAGACTCTGGGAACCGCCCTTCTGCATCACGCCTCAACACCAGCCCAGCCCAGGGCTTTGCATGGCCTTTCTTTCATTTAAGATTTTAAAGCGTACTTAATATAACTAGCGGTTTCTGGAAATGATCAAGATTGCCATCTTTGGCAAACTTGACCGTCCTCGTGAGCATGGAGCTGGGCCTCGTGTGGTCTCTGGAAGTCCACAGAGCTCCTGACAGGAGGGAGGCAGTCACTGGGAAACGCTGCTGGGTGGAAGGAACCAGCTCTCGCTAGCTGTCTGCGAAAAATCGTCAGCCAAACCGTATTCATGAATCCCGAAAGAAAAGTGCTGAATGAAATTCCGTGCTCGTTAGAATCGATCCCGTTTATCTGGCATTTCAGATGTGGCCCTTTCATGGGCAGCCAGCCCTACCCTCAGCCGTACAGAGACCAGGTCTCGCGGGGCTGAAGGGTTCCCTGGGCCCGGGACACCAGCGTACCTTTAATTCACCTGTCATTTGTCTTCCAGAGCCCAAGCTGTACTGTGACTATTTCTTTGGCAGGTTTCCTTTTGTGTTTCCATCTTTACACATGACTTAAGTCTCTCCATGCTTCCACTGATCCACTGAGTAGCAAATAAATTGGATGGTGTCTTAAGGAAAGTTTCTTTTACACATAATTGTACCTGCCGAAGCTATTCTCAACACAAGCAAGGAACGTTCAAAAGTGCATAAAATGTTGTACACACTGTCCTGTTCACCTGTGGTTACAGAAATAGCCTTATTGTCTTTTTGTTTCTTTTGTTTTGTTTTTGAGTCGGAGTCTCACTGTCACCCAGACTGGAGTGCAGTGGCATGCTCACGGTCACCGCAGCCTCGACCTGCTGGGCTCAGACGATCCTTCCGCCTCAGCCTTCCAGGTAGCCGGAACTACAGGCACGCGCTACCATGCCCGGCTGATTTTTTGATGTATTGTAGAGACGAGGTCTCGCCAAGTTGTCCATGCTGGTCTTGAACCCTTGGGCTCGGGCATTCCTCTCGCCTTGGCCTCCCAAAGTGCTGGGATTACAAGTATGAGCCACCGCCCTGGCTGCCTTATTGTTTGATTTGTCTGGAGAGAAGTCACCTTGCTTAGGACCTTAGCTGGACATGGATGTCTATCTTTGTTTTTTTTTTTGTTTTCCTTTTTTCTTTTGTTTCTTTGGACTTGGATTTTAATGGGCCACAGCAGTACTAAGACGATGTTTCTTTTCAAGGCCTCAAGGTCAATATCCCTGATTCCTGTGGTTGGAAAAGGAAGAATGATGTTCTGTTTGGTAGATGGCACGGCTTCTTCCAGGATGGCTGAAAGTCATGCAAAGTTATTTCCACTGGCTCATACCATGGGAAATGGAATTTTGTTGATGATTATTTGGGTTTGGATGGCATCTGAGTGTCACTTGTCATTTTTCTTTTTTTTTTTTTGAGTTGGAGTCTCTGTCACCCAGACTGGAGTGCAGTGGCCGCTCCTGGCCACCGCAGCCTCGACCCTGGGCTCCGGCGATCCTTCCGCCTCAGCCTTCCGAGTAGCCGGAACTACAGGCGTGCGCTACCACGCCAGGCTGATTTTTTGATTTATTGTAGAGATGAGGTCTCGCCAAGTTGCCCAGGCGGGTCTCGAACCCGCGGGCTCAGGCAATCCACTCACCTCAGCCTCCCAAAGGCGCAGGATGACAGGCTGAGCCACCGAGCCCGGCTACTTGTCATTTTTGATTGATGTGGTTCACATGTGCTCTGGAAGACAATCGCAGGCTGATTCTGGTTCTGTGTTCTGAGCGTCCTAAACCAGGTGAGCTCCAGGCACCAGTCACTTCCTTTCATCAGACTTGACTTCCTGAGAATCTGAATTTAGCGTGAGAAATGGCTTGGGGCAGTGGTTCTCAGACTTTTTGGTCCAAGTGCTCTTTCACATGCTGGAATATCATCTCAAGGCCAGAGGTTGAAGGTTTCCACCCGCTCAAAGATCTGGACTCCGTGGTTGAACACCCTCTGCCAGTTGAGTAGCCCAAAGGCAGGCGGGGAGGCCCCTGCCAGTGACGGGTGATCCTCGTGTGCCAGCTGCCTGCTCCCTTGGTCAATCCCACCAACTGCCCGTTTTTACCTCTGAGAAGACGGCAGAGAGAGGCCATACGACTTACCTGAAGGCTGTTCACCAGCTCTTACGGGCTCAAACCCAGATCTGCCCAACCCACATCCTGCTGTTGGGCACTGCAGGGGGCAGGCTAAACGCTCCCTTTGGAGAGGAGACCCC